CCTACACACATGCTTGCGATTACATATACGAAATCTTACGCTACAGTTTTAGAAAATTCTTTAAAGCGTAGATTTCGTTAGTTTCAAAATCATCCTATCAACGAAGGGACCAGGCATTAACGTCAATACCCGACGGGCCGCGCAGCGCAAGTTGATCGCGAAGGTAGCGGTGATTCGAGATTTACCGGAGCGTTAGCGAAGGTCCAAATCGCGTTCACCGTACCGAAGCACTACAGATCAACTTGTTTAGAGTACAAAATGGCCTTTTTCTATCACAACCGAAATTCGAGAACTCAAAAGTACTTGTGATATGAGATAAGAGAACGTAATTATTCATATCACTGTGATCTATGGCTATATTGTAATCCCAGCTTATACTTATTCTAGATTCTACATTAGAACACTTCCTCACACTTATATGTCGTATCAAGGCTGTTCAGAGATGGAGGCATGGTTTTCTCGTGAAGTTTCGGAGTAACGATCGCTCATCCTCTATTTACATATGAACAAACTTTCAACCGTAACATTTCTTTTCTCACATTGGGAGAATTGTTAACCAATCGACATATTCTCTAGACATCTGTGAATATTTAAATCTTCAACTCCATCGAAAAATGTCCTCATTCTTTCCAGGATGAACCAGAAAGCACTTATCAGTTTATAAAGTAACCCATGTTATGATCATCCAAACACTTAAGCACAGTACTTACATCCAAACACCAACGAGTCCCTTTGACCCTAAATCACCTCTGTGTGTTTGTTTTTGACTTTATGTTTCAACAATAGTAGTGAATCCAACCCTAATGTTGTACTATTATATTTCATCTTGTTAACCTTTCTAATACTTGATAGGATAAGCATTAAATTGAATATAATTAATTTTAAAAACTTTCTCTTTAGATAATGTTCTCCCGAAAAACTACAGAAAATTTAACAATAGGCCTTAACTTTTGAAAAAATTTAAAACATACTTGAAACACTTCAAAGGGATTTCAAATGTTGGGAAATTTGAGTTTTGAGAGCTGAAAATTCAGACAACGTATCAATACCATATAGATTTTGAGTCAAAATGGAGCTAATAACATTTGAGGTTGTTCGTAGAATTCCTACTTTGGTGGAGGTAATCAAAGGACGCATCCCGGGCGCATAATTCAGATTATTTTCCTCGGACTTTCTGTAGTAATCTTCAGATGGATTATAAATTCTGGAAGTGGGCTGGAGAGATTGTGTCTTTTAGTATTTCTATATATTCCGCAATTACCCGTATAAGGAGGCACAGACTTTAGGAAGTACTAGAGATGTGTTCCTCTTGTGTCTCTAGACTGTGACCACTCCCTCAATCCAGAAGTTTACAAGTAAAACACATAGTACACGAAATCATCTTGCAAAGTGTACCGTACTTACTCACTTCAACCAACCCTCAAGGGTTGTCCTGGAGGCTCACACATTCGTTCAATTCTGAACTTTCTGCACAACTATTGGTAGAAGCGAGGCTCTTATTTGGCAACAGGCTAAACGAATATCCACATCTCAGCTATCCCGAAAGATAATTCCGGGCGGAGAATAAATTTCACTACCTGAGCAGTTTTGCCAGCATCTTACTACATGTTTCTTGTGACGTCTTCATGAAATGAATATTAAGTGATTGATGGTATATATATATATATATATATATATATGGTTACTATATTAATCGACCATCAGGTTTTTATTTATTGAGAGAAAGACCCTTTCTAGTCTCAACTTCAAATTTCTGAGTTTTCTTATGAGGTTCCTTGAAAGGCTCAAGTATGCATAAAAATGCTGTGAAATCAAAAGAAAGAGAAATACTCTCTTTCACCAAGGCATGGAAAGCATAACCCCCATGAGGATCTTTGTGTTCCGGCTTTACTATATATCATTGTAATTTACTAGCAATCACTGCTAGGCTCTGATAGATCCAGTGTTTTGCTCCCCGTTTTCGAGTCGATATCTTCAATGATTAATAATATTTCTGTTGTTCAAACATCGTGCTTTTCGTTTCTCGTGTATTAGTTCATGATTCTAAGCAGTGTTGATGCAAATACACTTCTTTAGTGTCCTACTCCATAATAGGGACGAGTGGGCTTGTCTAAGCTTTCCAAATTTTAAGTTGATCAGATTTGTCTTGGTGAACCATAGTTTCTTTAACGATCATAGAAGGGTAGTGTGTGGAATTTCAAAGAAGCCTTTAAGTTTTAAGGAAATTGAGTACCGTGAACAGATGATCCAAAGAGCCCACCAGCAACACGAGCTGTAGATGCAAGCCTATGCGAACCTATGCGAATATGACGAGCAAGGCACAGCTCAATATGCATTCAGAGGTTATTCATTATTGTCCTGTGTATGCATGCAACTTCTGCTTCTTAATGTTCACATCACTGGTTTTTCTTTCCACCTGTGAAGTTAGATCTAGTTTTGAACAGAGTACTTACTCAAAGGTCTGTTTTATTTGATACAAGAAAGAATATCGTGCAAATAACTACAGAACAGTAACTATAGACCAGACTGTTAGAGACAGATATATGAAGTTCCGATGGTTACAAAATGGAGTAATCTTTTCTGGTACACGACTTATACACCAATCTGAATTCCCTTGAGGACTCGATGATTTCCACCTGCATGAAAGCATGGTACTGCATAAAATACTATGTAGTAGTCCAATTTCAAGTGAGGCGCTGATTTCGGGGATGGTCATTGCTTGTCCTCTTACCGGACTAGTGATGAGATATTTCATGACGATTCGTAACTCACTTGGCTTTGATGTGAGTTCTCCCCTAACACTGAATGAGTGGATTTTTTATACCCTCTATCTCTATAAATTCAAGGTATCTTCCCACCTAGATTTTACTAAGAACCGAATTGTTTGATTTTCTTCAGCAAATCGGTAACATTGCCAACAGTATCCTGCCGGTCGTCTTTGGATCATATCATCTTCACGTATGCAGCCTTACCTCCACTAAGAGCCAGTTTTCAAAATAAGAAATTCGTACGCCTTGTATGCATATCAATGAAGAATAACGCACGCACCTGTTACCCAAACCCATACCGATTTCTTGATTCATGTTATGGCCGACCAAAAGGCGGGCCTCGAGTCGTATTGGCGTTCCAGATGGCTGACCAGAAGTCCAAAATTGACGAAAACAAGTTTCCCGCCGTGTGACAACTACTAAGAATGTCATGATTTGCCATTGCTTAAGTCTCAGTGCACTCAAACGGATGTGTGAATTCATAAATAATGTGTGAAGATCCGGCTTCTGTCTTCTCTTCAATTGATTGAACAAATTCAGACACAGGAGGATCCCCAGTACATCGAAAACAAGAATATATAATAGTTTGGAGAATATTCGCTTGTCTTCGGACAGTTCCACAATATTTTGACACACACAACAAGCTCTTACCATATCACAATTTATTTACATTTCACGATTGCATCACCTACCCAACCATATGAAATTTTATCAACAACTGATTCTTTGTATTTTACTGCTTTTCTCCTTTACATGGGCGGATGACACGACATCGGCGACGCCAACAACATTCAGCTTCAGTACTGTTACTACTGACTTGTACGTTGAGACTTCCCTCTCAGAGGTATGTGACTATGACTCCTACGTTGACACCATAAACGGGCATGCGTACTCTTATATGTTCACTATAACAGGGGAAACCACTTCATCAGGTAACATATTCAACCTTGTCACCTACAGAAAGTTTACACTCACCTGGTATTTCACCTTTGCAGATGATATAGATGCTTACAGTCTTACTGCTAGGTACAGCGGTATTCATATAGACGATTTGGCCGGTGTGGTCAACCTGGAGAAAGGACAGCTTATGTTTCAGTACGACGTTACAGTAAACTCTGCATTTTTAGTTTATGGTCTAGCAATAGGAGCCTTTTGTGACCTTGAATATGTCAATTTTGCTTTCTATAGAGATGATGACACAGGATCCGAGGAAATTCTGAATTTCTATACCGGTAACCTTGGGTCATCAGTGGTGAGTGTTCTTAACAGTGCTGCCTGTGGAGTTTTCACCTTGGACAACTGTCCTATATATTACAAAGCAATGGACTTTTCTTGTGATGACATGTCTAGTTATTCTTCAACATGCATACAGACAGCCGCCGTTACAGCAGATTTTGATTACACAGACACATACACTCCAACTCAAACTGAGCCATATACAACTACAATTGTGGAGGACACAACAACCTTCACTGGGATCGTTTCATACTACACCACAACTGATGAAAATGGTGATATCATAACAACAATCACCACAGAAATAGTTCCTGGACTGCCATCTCCCATAACAACCACGTATCTTGGTAAAGATGGATATTCGCAGAGTGGAGTTGTCGAGTTCTACACCACAACTGATGGTGATGGCAACACGATCACGACATCCTCGACCTCTGCTTACATCCACGGACCAATAACAACGACGTATGTGGGTGCTGACGGAGACTCTGAGAGTGGAGTTGTCGAGTTCTACAC